GGGGGTTGAGATTGTGGTGGTGAATAACTTAGTAAGCTATAGTTGTTCCCCACAGTGTCATGTTAAGTTGCCACTTACAATGGAGTACGATACATTTGTATTGTTGTTAAGTAAAAAAATGAGTATGAGCAAACGTTCGGTGAGTATTAAAGTAACCATAAGATATTCATATTCTGTCACTTCGCAAGGTGTTGCTTGTTATGTTGAGTTTAACATCGAAGATGATGAAACTCCGAGAGATTTTTTGAGGACTCCAGATGAATACCGGGAATTTGTTGTGATAAAAATGTTGGAAATGTACGTCAAGGCTGAAGCCATTCGCAATAATGAGGTTCCGCAAAGTAAGGATATCCCTCAATCATCTGATGGTTATTTTGGAGCAGTTTTAGCCGAACAGGTTCCGGGTGAAAGAGTTTGGCCTGATCTAAACTTATTTCCACGGGCTAATGAGGAGCGAGAAAATAATTTCTCCCCTAGTTTACATAATTCACAAGCCGAGTGGTAAAATTTAATTTTCCTTTGTATTACGATGCTTATTTTTATGTATTGAATTTGTATTAACACTCATATATTTCATATGGGGTACCAGCCAGATATGAATTTTACAAGTTATGAACCAACGCCCAGTTGAAATATGCCTAGTTTTGGTATGTTGGATCATGATGGTCCATCCGGTAGTCATCATCAACAGGATAATGTTCATCATGGGATATCAACACACTATGATTTTTAAGTGAAGTAATAAAGCTATATGTAAAGTTTGGATTAATTTGAGAAATTCATTATTTTATTGGTTGTGCAGTGAAAACGAGCAACTTGAAGGTCCTGTCCTTACACAATTGCCCGAAGACGACATATTTAATCGGGATCTAGCAGATGCGTAGAGTCAGGAAGAGAATAGTGATTATGACAACAATGCCGATGAGTTTGGAGATGACACACCCTTCCCTGACGAGGGTGATGATGAGAAGGAAGAGAATGTTGAACCTGATTTGACGAGGGAGCATGCTCCACCTCCCGTTAGACCAAGAGTGTACGAGTCCCACGTGTCGTTTCATTCAAAGGAGATTCCCTACCTTGATCATTTTTCAAATATGTCAGATGTGGATGCCCTCACAAGGGATCTTGACGAAATTCGGACATCAATGTGAGATTAATCTAGAGCAACGGTGCTGTCAAAGAGCATGCTTTTTCCTGATAAAGTGCGCCTAAGAAGATCTAGAGCAACGGTCCCTTACAAGTGGACTTTGCATGCGAATGGTGGCAGGAAATGGAGAATTCTGACTACAAATGTGTCAGAGTCTTTCAACGGGTTATTGAAATCTGCAAGTGGATTGCCTATCACTGGCATGGTGTCAAGCAGATGGCGGAGAGGTTTGTTGAAAGGGTGAGATGTGCATTGTTATTGATGGAAATGGGTGTTGAATTTATGCCAATACCAATGAAAAGATTTGAGAAATACAGGAAGCGAGCACATTCACATTCATTTTTGCAGTATTGCAACGAGCGAAATATTTTTGAACTTCGCTATCCATCACAACCGGGGGAATAATACACACACCATCAATGAAGTTGGAAGGTTATGCTCCTGTGGAAATGGTCCATCTATCACATGTCGTGCTCATATGCCATGAAGTCCTTTCAACATACAAGTTTTGCGGCAACAAGGTACGTTGATAAAGAATATAATGTTGTTGTATACTTAAACACCTATAGTGGACAGTTACAACCAGTGGGTGCTGAGCATTATTAGCCACCAGAACCATTTAGAATGGTGTGTAACAAGGAGTATTTGCGTCAACAACAAGTGCAAAAAAGAACGCGTATACGAAACCAAATGGATGTTGGTGATACCGTTTATGCGCGTAAATGTGGTAGATGCTCGCAAACAGGATACGACAGTCGTAAATGTCCTTCAATTGGTTTGGGTAGCGGTGGTAATTCAGCTCCCGGTGAAAGTTCATCCAATGTACCTAATTATCAAGGATACCCATAGTGTTTTATTTCAATAATTTGTTGTAATACGTGTATGTATATGTTCATCTTGCAGAATGTATGAAATAAAATTACGTTTCCATTGGTGTTAAGTCTTATTGATATTTAGAATTAATACTTCAGTACAACAATTTAACATACACCCCAAGAAAAAAAACAATTGTCATTCGCCATTATCGTCGCTGTCTGGCACTATTTCATTGTCATTGTCTTCATCTTTTTCGTCAACATCGTGTACGTACCCTTCGGAATCGAGGGCATCGTAATCTAGGCCCCAGTTGACACACATTTTCTCGCATTTTATTGCTATCATCAAGAAGACCACTTTCTTGATTTCTACAACAATATGGGACTCCTACGTCCAACGTCTGTGGTAGAAACTTAGGTAGTCCCTCCCACTCGATAACTTTTAGGAAAACAAGTTAATAATTGTCTCTATGCAATTTATCATTTTCTAATAAATCCCATTACTGATCATGCGTTCCTCCCAGGAAGTTAAGATCATCCATTGTATGATGCACATCTAATGCCTTTTCCATCTCTAAAATCTCCTTCATCAAATGCCGAATCACTTCTGGTTCATCTTTGTGTGTGTTTGTTTGGAAGGTTGTAGACAATGCTTGTGGCACAACAAGCACATGCCAGGGAGATAGTACTTCGTATTCACACCGTTTTGAGTAAAGAGGAACCCATTATAGTTTTCGCGTACCTTCAGGCTTTGTAAAATGCGTCTCACCCTTAATAGCGTGCCCTGCAACTTTGAGATCAGTGTATTTTGATAGGCTTATTTTCCAAGGTACGAAAAACACCATACCACTTGTCTTGTCGACCTGAAAAAGATGTTGTTCTGCAAAAGCTATCTTTTGGAGAAGCTGTATTGTACCCTAAAGAATCATTATCACGCGAAACATAATGCGGCGAACTACAACGTTATGTGTTTTTTCTTGCCTATAAAAGCCTAGCGCATTTTAGTTATTATTTGCGCTTAACCAAAACAAATAGAAAAACTTTCTATAAATTTTTTATTTTTCTTGCATTATGAAATGTTTTGACGCAGTGACATACCAAGGTGTTATTGTGGCAAAAGTGCAATGTTGAAGTCATGTTGGTTAAATAGTAATGTTGGTCAAATGATGTACCAAGGTGTACTTTATATAACATGTTAATTAATAGTGTTGTATTATAATCCTCATTTGTAGGACGGAAATCAATGTAGATTTGAAGAATGGTATGATGACCCCATTAATCAAGAATACTACAAATATTATTTGCACTATGTTTGGAATATGACTGGTGAATATGAACTCCAGATGTTTAAACTATAACAACAACTTGCGACAGTGAAGGAGAAACTAAAAGAGGCAGAAAAAGAAAAAAAATAGGTTGGAAGAGAAATTTAAGTGGTTGAAGAAAAGAATAATGGGCGATAGTGACTAAATAAACACATGTATGTGTTGAGTGTAGTATTTTATCTTTATGTTTTTCATGTCATGTATTTTCATTAGTTGTACCGAATTTAAATTATGTTAATGTGATGACCCAAAAGGTCATCTTATGTTTTAGAACTCGATCCGTGTTTCGAGGCTTCAAACCCTCATTTTATTCCTTCTCGATTTGCGTGTGCACTTTGGGCGTGTTTCCGGAAAGCTTTTATGTTGAAAGTTGATAAAAATAATAATTTTTGCCT